AAAGTTAGACTTGGGCCATAACTTTCCATACCCCCCTTGCATTATTGCATGGGAGACTGAGTCCTGAAGGCCTCCTTTGCAAATTCTCAATGTGCAAATTGCAACTACACTGCAATCTTGTCCCCCTCACACACCGTTTGCAGTACCGCAGAGGTATGTGATCCCAAAGGCCCCGTTTTCTTGGCCTGCTCATATACAGTTGTATTTCTCCCAGCTAGTGTGCAACAAATAAGTAGTCTTCCTCCCCCATCTTCCTTTGCCACCCAACCGAAGGGCTTGTTGGCATGAGTTCATTATATTTGAACCATCAAGATGCACAATTGTAAGTGGCCGCAGCTATATCCGTGGAGCATTAATGCACATACATGTGCATGGTTCCTCCTCCGTGATTTCGGTCTTACTCCATCAGACCCCTTTTTGCAATAAAGCAAAGGTACTGACTAGTAAGACTTCTTTTCTTGGCCCATTCAAGAAAAATGCCTGTGGCAAGAGTGTATTTGTCAGCGTTCCTATGCACTAGAAAAGGAAGACGTCTCCTTCATCTTCCTTTGCCCTCCAACAGAGAAGGCCCAGTGCGGGACGCTGTTACATTTGAAAAATCAAGGTGCACAACTGTGACCACAACCATGCCCCTGAGGCATTATGTGTATCATTGCATATGCTTCAATCCATCCGACCAAGGTCCTGCCTCTTTGTACTCCTTTGGCAGTATAGGAGGGGTGCAATACCCTTAGGGCCTTTTGCTTGGCCTATTAATTATATTTGTCCCGGCTTTTGTGCACTAAACGTTTCCTTGTTATCGGGAATGACCCACTACATGAGTCCATTACATTTGAATAGTCAAAGTGGACAACTGTCAATGACCACAGCCCTGTCCCTTGGATACCAATGTGTGTAACTGCACATACATTATCCCATTTGAATAAGATCTTACCCTCATAGCCCTTTTGTGATACGGCACTGGTGGTGCCATTAAGCCTCTTTCCTTGGCCTGTCACCATGTGTAATTATGTTTGTCCATGTTCTTGTGCACCAGATAATGATACTGCCCCGTTCTCCCTGCCCCTTGACCTTGCCCCCAGTGCCCTCGCCTTTCAGCCCCTTCCTTTAATTAAGACCCTTTTATTTGGACAGTCAAGGTACATGACTTTAATTGTCCATAATCCATGTGCCTTTGTTATTAATGTGTAAAAGTGCACATTGATCATTCCATTTGCATAAGCCCCTACCCCCTCACACCTTTTCAACCAGAAGACTGACCACTAAGCCTCTTTTGGCCTGTTACTGTGTATCATTGCGTTTGCCCCTGTTCCTGGGCACCAGATAATGACACTGCCCTCTGCTGCCTGTCCCGGCCCCCAGTGCCATTGCCTATGAGCAGGCAGCGTCCACTGCTTACTTTAACGTTCTTGTATTTGAGCAGTCAGGGTGCCTGACTTTAATTGACCATTACCATGTCCTTTGAACACTGATGTGTAAAATTGCATGTGATTCTTCCCTTCTGAATAAGCTCCTACTCACCCACGCCTCTTTTTGATAACAGTAAGGGTGCTGACCATGAAGGCCTCTTTTCTTGGTCTCTTGTGCATAATTGCATTTGCCCATGCCCCTGTCCCACCAGATAAGCAAATTGGCCTGTCCTACTTGCCCCTTGCCCTGCCTCCATGTTGTTCAGCAGGAAATGCCCACTACTTTAAGATCCTTTATTTGGATAGCCAAGATGTGTATGATTGTGACTGAACACAACCATGTCCCTTGGACATCAATGTGTATAAATGCACATGGTTCTCATTTCAATATAGTCCTATCTCTCACCCGATTTTTGCAATACATCAAGGGTGCTGCCTATTAAGACCCCTTTTCCTTGGCCTGTATTGTGCCTTATTGCATTTGTCTGTGCAACAAGTCAGGGCACTGTCCTTGTCCTCCTGGACCTCTACCTTCCCCACACCCCATGCCTTTGACTTTCAACAGAAAGCACCCAGTAATGTAAGACCCTTTTAGTTGAACATTCCAGGTACGTGACTATACTTAATCACAACCACGTCCCTTGGATCACTGTGTATAATTGCACATGGTTTACCCCATTTCAATAAGATCCTACCCCCTGACACCCTTTTTACAGCATAGCAAGGGTGCTGACCACTAAGCCTCTACTTGTGCACAACTGCACTTGTCCATGTCCTCATGAGCTTGAGGGAAAATCCCTCCTCCCCACTCCTTTTGCTTTTTAGCAGGGAGTACCCACGACTTTATGGTCCATTTATTTGGACAGTCAAACTACATTACTTTAATGGACCCCAGCCATGTCCTTTGGACAACAATGTTCATAACTGCACATGGCTTATATTATTTGAATAAAAGCCTTGCATCATTTTTGCCTATAGCAAGGGTGCTGGCCACTGATTCAAATTCTCAATCTGCTTTGGTAAGTAACAGTATTTGTACATGTTCTGGTGCACTGGAGAAAAGACCATCTACCCCACTCGTTTGGCCTTTTAGCAGGGAGTGCTTATTACTTTAAAGATCCACTGAGTTGGACAGTCAAGGTACATGACTTTAATGGATCCTAACCATGGTCTATGGATGACTGTCTGTCTATAATGGCACTTGGTTCATTCCATTTGAATAAGATCTTACTCCCTCAGATCCTTTGTACTATATAGCAATAGTGCTGGCCACCAAGCCTCTTAACTTTTACCTGACTGTTGTGCCTAACTCCAATTGCACATGTCCCTGTGCACACGACAAAGGTCCCCTCCATCCCACCACTCCCTTTGTCTTTCAGCAAGGAGTGTCCACTACTTTGAGACCCATCTTATTTGAATAGTCAAGGTACATGACTTTAATTGATCACAACCATGTCCCTTGCATAATAATGTGCATAATTGCACATGGTTTATCCCATTTGAAGAAGATGTTCACTCCATACAACTTTTTGCAATATATCAAGGCTGCTGACCACCAAGCCTCTTAACTCTTGACCTGCTGTTGTGCACTACTGCAACTGTACATGTCTTTGTAGACATGAGAAAAGATCTTTCCACTCCACTTCGTTGACCTTTCCGCAGGGCGTGCCCACAACTTTAATATCTGTTGGGCACTAATGTGTCAAACTGCACATGGTCCAGCCCATTTGAATAAACTTTGGCACACTGCTTACAAAACAGCAGTGGCGCTTGCATCTGCTCGAGTTGCTGTGTACCAAGCAAGGCCATGCTCCTGTCCACTCTGCTCTTCCCCTGTGCCCAGTGCCTTTGCCTTTTGGCAGAGTGCCCACTAAGTTAAAGATCCTTTTATTGGGGCAATCAAGGTAACTTTAATTGACCCCCCCAGCCATGTCCCTTGGACAATAATGTGTATAATTGCACACGGTTTGTCACATTTGAATGAAATTCTACCACTTTGCCCCATTTCTGTACTACAGTAAGTGTGCTGACTACTAAGAGCTCTATGTTGGCCTGTTATTGTACATGAGTACATCTTTACTATGTCCCGGTACACTTGAGAAAAGAATACTCCACCCCAATTCTTTTGTCTTTCAGCAAGGAGCACCACTACTTGAATATCACTTATTTGGACAGTCAAGGTACCTGGCTGTAATTGACCACAACCATGTCCTTTGGGCATTAGTTTCTTTAGTTTTATATGCATCATTCTATGTAAATGAGATTCCACACCCTTTTGTGATACGGCAAGGGTGCTGACCACAAAGCTTCTACTCCTGGCCTGTTGTGCATAGTTGTATTTTCACCCAAAAGCCCTTGAACTATTAAGTCCCTCTATCCCGCTCCGTTTGCCTTCAACCGGGAGTGTGCCTGGGCCACTCCACTTGATAAAAGATACCCGCACATCACTTTTACTGCCTTCCAGCAGGAGGAACCGTTTATTTGAACAGTCAAGGTTCATGGCTTTAATTGATCATGTCCATGTCCCTTGGGCATTAATGTGCATAATGGTTCATCCTAAGATTCTAACCCTTTCACACTCTTTGTGCAATACAGCAAGTGTGCTGCCCAAGCCTTTTAACTCTTGTCTGGCTATGGTGCATAACTGCATTGGTGCACAGCCTTGTGTACTCGAGCAAAGGCCCCTCCACCTAACTCCTTATACCTTGCAGCAGCGAGTACACACTACATAGACTCTTTTATTTGAACAGTCAAGGTACTTGACTTTAATTGACTCAAGCCATGACCCTTGGGCATCGGTGTGTATAATGGCACTTGGTGTAAGATTTTACCACCTCACACCCTTTTTTGCAATACCGCAAGGGTGCGTATCACTAAGTCTTTTCTGGACTTGTCATACATTTGTGCATGTTCCTGTGCACCGGATAAGGACACTACCCTATCCTCTCTATGTGCCCTTATATTAGTCACCCAGTGCCGTGTTCATCTCGGCAGAGAGCGCTCACTACTTTTACAGACTTTGATAATGTGGACAGTCAAGGTACACACCTTTAATTGGCCAAAACCATGATCCTTGAACATGAATGTGCATAACTGCACATGGTTTATCCCATTTGAATAAGATCCTGCCTTCTCATATCCTTTTGGTGATATACGGGTGCTAAGCACTAAGGCTCTTACCTGCCCTGTTGCACATAAATGCATTTATTCATGTTTTCTGTGCACTAGATATGGACACAATCCGGTCCTTACCTCTGCACCCCCATGGTTTTGCTTTTCAGTAAGGAGCGCTGACTACTTTGGGAACCTTTATTTCAGTGGTCATGGTATACTAATTGACCATAACCCTTGAACATGAATGTGTGTAAATACATATTCTTCATCTCATTTAAATACACCATATTTGCAATGCAGCAAGGGTCTTGACCACCAAGGTCTCTTTTCTTGGCCTGTTGCTATGCTATGCATAATTGCATTTGTTATGTTCTTATTCACTTGATAAGAACACAAAATGAGGAGCCGATATGAATGGCTCAAGTAGAAGGCAAATGTTTTAAGAATGATGAGGGCAACAAATGTACATATGTGCTTGACACAACGGATGGATAAGATTTGTGATAAGAATTGTACGAGCCCCCAATAAAGTGCTTTAAAAAACAACAACACTGCCTTGAACCTCTCCTCAGGTGCTGTTGCCTTTTAGCAGGGAACACCCGTTACCTTAAGATCCCTTTGCTACCACACATAAGGGACACAATTTTAATTAGTCACAACGATGTCCCTCTGACATGTATTATATAATTGCAAATGGTTTATCCTATTTAATAAGCTCGTCATCTTGCACCCCCATTTCACAGTATAGCAGCAGTGACCACTAAGGTCTCTCCTGAGCCTGTGAAGCACACAAATGTTTTTGTCACAGTTCTTGTGACAAAAAAAGATGCTCCCTTCAATTTCCCTTGGCTGTCCAGTAGCTGGTGCTCACTCTTGCTGACCTTCACACTTTCTATCCTATGTGAAATGGATAACATTATTATACAAAATTTGCAGTTTTTGACAACCCTACCACGTCCTGGACCATTGTACTTCCTTTGCCTTAATTCAGTGGCTAGTATGTTTGAGCCAAGGTCCCTTTTATTGGTGTGCAATCTGCATAATTGCAATGGCTGTGGTCTTCCCAATTACACTCAGGGCATGCGTACCTTTGCAGTGTAACAGCAAAGGCCCTCTTTGGATTGTTAATGTATTTTGCCCCAGTTCTGTGCACTACTTGAGGGCCCTGCCTACTTCCTTAATATTTTCAATGGATGGTTCTTCCTATTCAAGATCCTGTCACGTGAAAAGTTCATGTGTCGTATTTTCTACAAATGTCTTGCACCAGAACCCCTGTACACCCTCTTTGCTTTAGAGCAAGTACATGCTGCTGTTCACCGAATCCCCCTTCCTTTGGACTTTAATGTACATAAAATGATCGTTCATATATTTTGTTTTTGTATCTTCCATGTCCCCGTAATCCTGCATGATCCCTTCCTTTGGGAATATAATGTGAATAATTATATTTGTATGTGCACATGTACATTAGAAAATGACCCTATACCCCTACCACTGTATTTGGACTCCTGCTGAACAATGCTTACTATTCATGTTCTCAGCTCTTGAATAGTTAATGTGCACCAAGAACAATGGTGGAGAAAACTGGCCATTAGGAAGCATCCTTGCACCCTTTGTAAGGCATACTGACTACCTCAGGCCCCAGTTCACAGATTGCAAATGTGAATATTTGCAGTTATCCATGTCCCCTTCTGTTCAAGTAGGCCATCACCCCCTCACACCCCCTTTATATATTACAGGGGCCGCTGACCGCTGGACTATTAATGGACACAATGGCAATTATCAATGTTTTTGTTTCCCCAGCCCTCTTAGGCAAACACTCGACCTTCATTTCCCATGCCATAATAAAGTATAAACATGGCAGGAGGCTCTGATCTTACCCATCAAACTAGGACACCCATCCGCTGCTCCATTGTATAAAATCCCAATTATCCATGAGCTCATCCTTTATAAAAGGTCTCTCCCCACCCATTGCCTGCCCTCAACCCCTTGTTGTGGACTACTGCTAATACTCACAATCTCAGGTGTCCCTGTATCCCGCCATTGGATGAAGGCACGCTCTTCGCGTTGTTATGAGGGACTCTTGACTGGGCAAGGTCCTTTCCCTTGGATTGAAAAGGTTAACAGTCCTCGAGGTCATGGGTTTACTTACTTGGTCTTGCTGTAGTGCCTCTGTTGGACTTCCCTTGATCCATCCATTCCCACATACCCTTTGCATTGCTTTTGAGTAGTGCTGACCTCTCAAAGGCCCCTTGTTGGAATAATCTATGAACAGAATACTAATTGTCATAATTTTCTGCAATAACCATCAATCCAAGATCCCCTTACCACTTGGGTTGTTTGTGCAGTCGTGATTACCAAAGCAAGAATGGACTAGACGGCTGGGTCTTCACCTTTTTTTTCTGCATTGTTAATAGTTCCAATTATTTTCCATCCTGGGGGCAGGAATCCTCCTTGCCCACCTCTATTATTCACTGCTTCAGTATACAATATGGTTAAGGAAACTCAGACCCATGGAGTGGGATTGCTACCCTTTATTTTGGGTTTCAATATAGAGAACACTCAAAGTCTCAGGAAGGAGATTAATAACCTTTCCTGCATTCTTCCTTCCTAAGGAAATTCTGCTTGACCCAGAATTTGTTCTCTTTTTGTACATCCTATGGTGTGAATTGCCAGGATACAACAGAAAATCTTGCTGTTAATTCTTCACTTTTTAAGAAAGACATTTGGATTATAAGACTGAATAGATACCTAGTCATTTAATTTTGCTCGCTTGAAAATTCCATTTATACCAGATACTGGTGACCAATGTTTCTCAGTTTACTGAGGGTGGTGAGTCTGGATAGATCACTGTGGCTCCTGCTATTTTAATATTAGAGTTCTTGAGTGGCAATATTGAAAAGTTTCCTTGTTTGGGCTCTGCCACCATTAACTTTCAGAGAAACCACCTAAACTTTCTAGTTCTGGAGCACCAACGAGGGTCTCTGTAAAAGGAGCGGGTGAGAGAGCATGCTCTGGAAAAGCGAAGATCGCCGTATGTCATTTGCTTATTATAAAGTGGGTGTCCGGTTTAATGCTGCAACGCATATTATTTCTGCAAATAATTCAAAGTAGCCTGCAGCGCCACACCAGGAACGGTGGTGGTCTTGGAAATGATGGGACCTGGTTTCCTATTTAATTTGATAAGAAATGATCATAAGCGTCGATGGTGAGGTAGCTGCTTAGCATAAATGAATAGTATCATGTGCAAAATGTTTTGTGGTGGAGGAGTATTTAATGTGGAACTGCTGAAGCAAATAGTCATCACAACAGCAGTTCAATATCATCACTAAAAACTGAACAGCCACTGTTCCTGAGAGACGGATGTCAAAATAGCTGCCCAACTGCAAGAAGAATCTCAAGGCTCTTTAGAATATGGTAAGTACTATTGTCCAGACAATACATAATATTTTCCTGTTCTATTTTCTATCTCTTAGAAGCCATCCATGGCAAAGGCAGTTGATCCAGAAAGATTCTTTTCCTGTTCCTACCTCATTTACAATATATATCATCCATATATCTATCTATCTACCTACCTACAAGGATATGTTAAAAAGTATTGCTATCTATCTACCTACCTACCTACCTACCTACAGGGATATGTTAAAAGTATTGCTAAAAATCTCCCTGGTAGTCTGTGAAGGCAGGGAGGATGAGGTTGCTTATGGGAAAAGGACAAACAGAATACACAAAAAGAATTAAAAAGTCCTCCTCAAGACTGACTTGCAATGGAGTAGAGCTAGCTCTTTTGTCCTCCCCAATTCTGGTCTGATGGGTTCACAAAAGACCTATCTTAATTGTCTATCACATAGCTTTTCACAAAGATCTTTGCAGAAGTTACTCTTTCTGTTGAACTTGTCAATGGAAAGACCTAAACTACTGGAGGCTCTGTATATACAATGCTAATTAGGTAGTGCGCAGTCACAGAGACCCTTATTAAACAAATATCAAACTGTGAAGCCTTTGCTTCAACATTTCCTCTCGATATAAGTGTATGCATCTGAAGTTGATATGTCCATCGCTCTAACCTTTCCCTGAAGGATTCTGCACTTGTGTTTCTATACCACATTAAAATAGCAATTTGACATTCTTATGGACTCAAATTGTATTCCTTTGAAAACTTCTGGGCTTTTGAGAACAAACATAACATTGTCTGAAGGGGCAAAATCAGGACTGCAGAGTCCATGGGAGGAGGTTTCCAGTAATTGTCATGGACAGCCCTTACATACCCTCAAAGAATGAGCAAGTACGTTGTTATGATGGGGGAGGAAATCCCCAACAATTATTTCTTGGCCATTTTCTTAATAATGTAGTTGTCAATTTTCTTAAAACGTCTTCCTAAGAAGCCCCCCTGGCTGAAAACCTATCAAGATTACTTCTTTGGAATCCCCCGCAAATGGGCACTACAACCCGGGCTGACTTCTCTGTCGCAGTTAACTGGTTCGGCAGATCCCGTCAGATTCAAACAAGCATATTCAATGAGAGTACTTGTCTAACCACTCGCTCAGTGCTGATGCACGTTTCAACACCGTTTATTGGAAATTGATGGAGTGGAACCCTAGTTGCAATACTTTTTGACATCCTCATGCATCGCCATCTAAGCTAACCAGCAAAATTAAAGAATTAACCCTGTATCCAGCTCTGTGCTAGGTTACACAGAAGTGAGGACAGAAATGGTACCGTTCTATACATTCTAATTATTGAGATGGTTGTCTTGTTGAGCTAACAACCCAAGCCAAATCTACTGCCAAAGTTGATTTTGACTCAGAGCGGTCCTATAGGGTTTTTGACACAGCAAGTCTTTACAGGAATTGAGTGGCTGGTGGGCTTGCTTAACCCACAGCACCTTGAGTAAATATAAGCACACTTGAAATAACTTGACAAGAAGCGCTATCTTGCATGAATTAGAAATTAGAGCTCTTTTTAAAGGAGCCCATTAAGGTTTCAATTGGATAAAAAAAACCTCAAGAAGTTGTATTATTGAAGCCATCTGGGTCGTTCAGTGGTTTATTTCAATGTTATTTGAATTGGGGTATATACCTGACACTGGCTCTCTCTACATTTTATTCTACTGTCCAAGAAAAGATGGGTCAAATGCCCTTTTAGTTTGGGTTAATTTTGGCAGGAGGGTCACATAGGTACTTAAACTTACACTCTGGGGGAAAGAAGCTTCCCCTCTATGAAACAAAGGTCTAGCTGAGAAGATTTCTCAATATAAAACTTGACATATTTCTTATACATACATGAATCCTAGCAGGTACAATGGAACCATATAAATGAACTGGGCTTTCTCTTCCTGTTCATTTTAATTCAGATCCCTATTTCCTCGTAGAATTTTCTCCCCAAGAGCTAGGTGTTATTTGTCTGATTTTATACATAAATATGTGAGCATGTCTGTGTAATTGTCCAGGGGTTCTTGGAAACATCTTTTGCGACTTGATTCTTAAACTCCAATTAACGATTCCCTGTGTATGAAGCAGCTCTCAAAGGCATGTTTTCTGGGATCGTGAAGCATATATGTTTTGAGGAACACTGACTTAAAGTTAGTTATTTGAAGTGTTTTCCAATTTCCAGTTAACGGTTGTCAGTGACTCATCTTATATAATGAGTGTAGATGGGAACCCACAAACCTCCAGGGTTCTTATCACTCCAATTTGAGAAACACCGGTCTATGCTTATGAAGTCTTTTATTACTACTACTTGTCATTTCCTATCAACATGTAGTTGTAATAGTTACTTGATTTTGTTTTAAAGGGACAAATTCAGAGCTGGTTCTGAAGTACATGCCAGGAAGGAGGAATGGATCGATTTTACGTGGCTTGAAGCCTATACTGGATGGCACCCACGGTGAATACTGGTGTTTTGTTTCTATTTTATTGTTTGGAATAATCTTAACTCTTAAGAAAATTCTCCAATTGTGTCGTGAGTGCCCTGGGATTCTGGGCATCTTCAAAATTAAGATGGTCCCTGTGTTGACATTTATTGTGGCGCCACTGGAATACATAACAAAAGCAAAGACATTATTCCTTTAAAGCAATTTGATGTTTTCCTGGAGGACACAGAATAATTCTGCACGCTTTGATTTATGTCAGGTTAAAAGAGCAGTTTTGGCATCCTTCAAAATCACAACTCGGATGTCATGTCAGTGTGTTGAAGTCCATTCCTACTGAACCTATGGGACAGAGCAGAAGTGCTCTTGCGGATTTCTGATACTGTAACTCGAGGGAGCAGAAGGCCTTTCTCCCTCGCAACAGCTGGTAGGTTCCAACTGCTGCCCCTGCTGTTACTCACATTCTTTGAGTTTGGGGAACAAAAAGAAATCTGAAGGGGCAAGATCATGATTGATCTTGGGGTGGATGAGGTGAGGTTTCCCAATGAAACTCCTTTAGGACCACTCTGACTCTCCTGGGAGAATGAGTAGGGGAATTGCTGTGATTGGGGAAAAGAATCTTCGGCGATTCTTTCCTGGCTTTTTCCCTCACCAGTGTAATTTTCAAGACTTTGTTTTACTAAGTCCCTGTGATAATCCTGTGGCGGCCAAGATAAGTCTATCAACTATTACCCCTTGGGATCTCAAAAAAACAGTAACCTTCTGAGCAAACTTATTTGCCTTGAGTTTCTCTGGCCCAGCAGGTTATCTTGTAAATCACTCTTATTTGACTGAGTCCTGTTTTCCTTCTTAAGGATGCTCCGAGCACGTGCGACGTGACTGCAAACTGCTCTGAAAGCTGCGAATCCAGAACATCCTTCTGAGCATCTGTGCACCCTCCTGCTGATAGGAAGAGCTGGTTTGAAGACCACCTGAAGACAAAGGTAGCGCTTTTGGAGTTAATTATTGCGGCCCTTACGTGTTTGCTTATATATAGCCTCCTACTCCACTCCTTTTAAAAGTAGAGCATGCATGTTATGCACTGTCCAGCATTTATTTTCATGCTTGTAAGGCAACTGAAAATACCATGGCTTGGATCAGGTACACTTTTTAGTCCTCCAATTAACATCTTTGCGGTTTAGCACTTTAAAAGAGCTGTTTTGCAGCAAATTTACCCATTAGGCAAGTTTCAACAATGCATTTTTCTTTTGTCTCTTCTCCAGATCTTCCTTAAAATAATAGGCTTGTTGTCTTGGTGGTAGTGACCCATTCCCTTTGACGATCCTTTGGTGGAGATGGGGCATGAGGATCCTCCAGGGGAAAAGCTCACTAACACTGGGCAACAACTCTATCTAATCCAAGAGATTCTACTGAAGTGTTTTCCTGGCCCAGACAAGACAATGGAATCGCAAAAGACCTCCGCCACCTATCAGAGGTGAGTACTCTTACTAAGAACGCAATAAGTGTGCTCAATTTTTATGTTATTTCCCACGATATAATGAACTTATACATCTGTATATATATATACACATCAATATGAATTGATTTCATATTTCTCCTTATTCTGTGTTTGCACTGTCAAAAATAATTTCCTAACTAACTAACTTGGGAAGAATCTAGGTGCAAGATTGTCAAAAGTTACAATATGTAATCACATGGGTTAACAAGAGTTCGAAGTGGTAGAGTCCGACTTATAAACTGTCCTGCCTTTTTGGAGAATGTGGACATTTGCCACATTGGTGAAATTGATCAGGGACAAGCAGCAAGTAAAGCTGAGTGCTTACTTGCACTTACCTGGGGAAGCAGGGCTTAGAGGAGTGGAATGATGCCCTTTGGGGCAGCCCTGAAAGAAGTCCTGAAAGGACTTTGTAACATATCCCAAAGAACAACTGTACCCTGAGCATTTCTAGTTTGCACTACAATCCGTCTATTTCCATAAGTAAATCCTATCATCATTAATAATGTCTGAGTTCTGTGTAGCCATGGCTAAGAATAGAACCTAGAGGTGAAAGTAGAAAATAGTTAAAGACGACTCACTTAACTACTATTTAACTCACTTAACTCACAGTTGTCAAAGAGACTTTTTTCCTAGCTGATTGACATGTTAAACAAGATTCCATTCTTTAAGTAAATGATTGGTAGTGATATCTGCAACGACCTCACTAAGTGAAATTGGGCAAGTAATTTCCCTATTTGTGCCATACTTTCCTGTTCTGTTGCATGACAAAGTTTAGGTTTTTTCCCTAAGTTTTGGGGATGCGGTTTCATTAGTTTGAATCTTACATAACTCCAGGCCAGTACTGTTAATATTTCTTGATGTAATTTCCAATGTTTCCCCCTTCTGCTTTTTTGTAGCCCAAGACCATTTCTTCCTTATCTGCTAAATATCCATCCTAAAAGCAACGAACATGGGACTTCAGCAGACTCAGGAGATTTAAAGACATCAAAGGAAGTCAGCCTTTTACGTGAAGATCAACATGCCTGACACTCAAGCATTTTTGAATAGTAGAATGAAGTAAGTTGGTATTGTGATCATGTGATCATCACTCCAGAGGTTTGACTGCTGTAGGTAGTATAGAATGAGGTGTGTTGAATTTGAATTGGGTCAAATGTAAAATGGGAGTATGCTCAGGCTATCACATTACTAACTGGGTACACTATTGTAAATTCAGACACTTGACAGTCTACTTACTTGCATCACAGAGAGTTTTATCTTCTCTTTGTCTTGTCTGTGTATTATTCCATAAGCCCTTTACTCACTTCAAAGCCTAAGCATATATAGAAGCCTTAAGCATAGTTTTTAGTTCCTCTTGAAAGGGCTTGTCCCTTGGTCACTTTCATTTGTAAGAGAATCTAATGGCATTAGTGGCATTAAAATATAATTAGCATTTGAAAACCCCCCAGACCCAGGTGTGCAAACTAAGGGGATGAGGAAGGTTAAGGATACATATTAAAGAAAGGTAAGGAAAAAAAGAAAGGTAGAACTATAAAATGAAGTCACTGACTAGATACTGTGGCAGTCATTCTCAACCTGTGGGTCGAGACCCCCTTGGGGGAGGGGTCGAAGGACCCTTTCACAGGAGTTGCCCGATTCATAACAGTAGCAAAATGACAGTTACGAAGTAGCAATGAAAATAATTTTATGGTTGTGGGGGTCACCACAACATGAGGAACTGTATGAAAGGGTCGCGGCATGAGGAAGGTTGAGAACCACTGGTCTAAGGGCATTTATTCATTCACCTGGGGTATCTCATTTGGCTCTTCTGGAAATCCTAGTGACAGTGTTTGTAAAGCTAGGCAGTCCTTTGGTTTTATGACCTTTGGCAAATTAGAGACTTTTGATTTTTTTAAATGTATTTTGATGATGTTTAAACGAAATCATATATTTAAGATAAGTAAAGGGCCCATGGTAAGCAAGAGGTAACATAAGCCGCTTTATAAATTCATCTGACAGAATGTAACAGTAACCACTATTACCATTAGCTGGTCATTTTATGTTTTATAAGTATCTGTGTTGGTGCTTGCTGCTACTGTTGCATTTATTAGTATTGTTAGTGTAAATAGTATTGGCATCAGTAATCGCTTATTATGATTATTAATGGCCCTTTTTGTTTTCTTTTGTGGTCTTGTTTGTGATGCTTTGTGTGCCCGTCTGGCCCTCAGTGTATCTGTTCTCTTTGCGTCCAGCCCTCTCTTGCATATGTCTACTATTGCTTATCCATTATGTCTCTGTCTCAGTCTTTATTGTCGTGGCTCTTTCTGGTGCATGCAATGTCTCCATTCTCCCTCTGGCTACTTTCTGCTCTGAGTCTTTGCTTCCTCTTCTGTCATTGCTCCTTAGAATGCTCTGCTTTGTGCCTTGTCTTCCATGTAGCTTTCAGGCTTCGTCTTCCCTGTGGCTTCTCTTACTCTCCTATGGCTTGCTCTTCTTTCACTCTTGAATGTCTTCTGAGCTACATGTTGTCTTCTTTCTGCTCATTTCTTGTTCTGCCTACTTCTCTTTCTCGCTACCCTCTCCCCTTCTCCTTGCTAGACTTCTCCTTTTTCATTTTCGCCTTTCTTGTGCTACTTCTGTTCATCATCTATCATTTCTCTTCAATACATCTCCTCTGCCTCTCTTGGGCCATTTTCTCTCTTTTCCTTCTCTGCGTGCCTCAGTGTTTCTCTGTTCTTTGTTTTTCACTTCTGCGTTCATCTCTGTATTCTCTTGCATGTTCCCTTCTTACTCAGTATGTCAGCCTCTTCATCAGTCTATGTCTCTCCTCTTTGATTTCATGTCATCCTCTCACCTCCGATATTCCTGTGTCTACGTATGTGCATGTGGAAAAAGCTTCCTAACCCCTTCCCAGTAGGTGTGCAGTGTCAGCTATCAAAAGTTAAGCATCGCAGAGCTGTTTTCTAACTGCCAGGCTGACTGTGAGATGATCCGACATGAAAAGAAGCCCCAACGCTGTGGACTGAAGTACAATCCCACACCTACAAAAGGCAGAAGATAGAAAGTTCAAAATAATGGATAAAAGGCCAAAAACAGAAGACTGATGGTTTGACACCGGAGGACTAAAATAGAACACCTGTGTCCCAACATAAATGCGCTTAGCCCTGAAAGGAACAAAAGCCTGGCGAGCTAAGATGGACAGAAGCCAGCTAGAGATCCACGTGAGGCTCAAAGCATGAAAGCCAGTATTCAAGAGTCAGGGTTCATGGAAGGTTCAAGATTCAAGGATGCAAGCCAAGGACTGTAGACTTAAAACAGGCAGAATGCCCAAGGAAAACAGATACCTCAAGATCTGAGGCGGGAATCTAGAGGCCTAGGACCCAGAACATATATGATCCCCAAGACCAGAGAAAATACCAAGATGGGAACCTTAAACCTCAGCTTTCCTCAGCTCTTTTCTATCGCTATACTTTTAGATATGTGCAGTTCTCCCCTTCTAGTTCTCCTATCTCCACTTAGACCTTTTTTTTTTTTTTTTAAAAAAAGGTTTTTTTTTTTTAATGTTGTGATTACTTTAAAAGAATATATCTTTACTTGAGGGCCACATCAAAGATTGGTGATATTATACGTTTTGGGGGCATTTCCCCTTTTTTATTATCATCTCTGCATTTGACAGATATGTCAATATCCAGTCAGTATCCAGTCTGGATTGAGCTATTCCTCTCAGGAGCAAGCCTCCACAGGTGACACTGTATTGAAGTCCTCTTTTTCCTCAGAAGCCATAGGCTGATGAGACGAGGGAAGGGATAAGGCTATGGAGGGAGGGAAAAGTCTCAGACTATCTGGAAAACATATGAAGAGATGCTCCAGGCCACTGAGAAGAGTAAACAAGAAACACTCAGATACGCCAGCTTCCTGAGAAGCACCAGCTAACACCACCTAACTTCTTAGAGCCTGGGTGAGCAAAAGTCGTAAGATTGGATATTTCTATGGGTGGGTATAGAAAGGGTGATTGGGTGTAGGACAATGTGAAGCCCCAACGACACAACACACACACACACACACACACACAACCTAAACTCCCTGCTCATCCTAGTGGCCAATTGATGTGGTGGATTCATACCCACCTCTAGACTTAAAACAGTAAGAGGAACTGGGAATATTTTGCCGGTTTAATCCTTTCCTTAATTTCACCCCAATGAATGCGGGAAGGTGGCTTAAAGATAACACAGATGAAAGTACTTTTCGAGCTAACATATTAGAGGTAGCATATTACAGCCACAGATAGCCTTTGCAAATGCATTGTAAGCTGTGCTACATCATGTAAGTCCGGAGTCAGCACAGCGTGTCTATGAAAGGTCCCTTAATAAGTATTTTAGGCACTGGAGGCCACATGGTCTTTGTTGTGAATTCAGTCTTTATAATTCTTAAAAAGTGATCAATCCATTCTTAGCTTGGGAACCAAGTGGAATGGCCTGGGAGCCATAGGTGTACCAATCCCTGATATATATGCCAGGAACTGACTATGCACTGGATAATACAAATTTCCTCTTCTTTGCTTATCCCTGTGCTAGGATACTGGAGATGCAGCATGGTTTTTGACCACCTTCAAGTGGATCAAGGAAAAATACAAATATATGAGTATGCCTTGTAAACTACAAAGAATTATAAAAAGAATGATTTTCAGCATTTGATAAAAGCATATTGATTTATTTGTGCTCTTGTGCTAGATATTATAGGCACAAAGATTAAAAGAAGTATGAATAGAAAATCCTTAAAAATATGTAATACTATATACATGTCAGTACAAGATGTTGGACAGATTTATATATTGGTGGCCAACATGTTTCTGATGCAATGATTTTTTCAGTATAAAGATAAGATTTATAGTACTGCAGATACCTAGAAAAGAAAACAACATGTGGGAACTGCTTAGAAAATATAAAATATACCACATATGTAAGGATTAAACTATTGTGGTCATCTGGGGGTTGCCACATGCCATGCTAGTTGGCTAGAGGTACCAGAGAGGAAAAACAAGTACTATTATTTTTGGAGAATTCTAAATTTCACAAAGTGCTTTATAACGAAAATACTATACCAATGGGCTGCATTTTATTAATGCATATTCATTACTTACTTTTCAAGTACTGTTTCTTATGTTTCAAGCACTGTGGATTCCATAATTATCCCAAACTGTAAGTGAAAAGTTTATGTCAAAGACTTTTTAGATGTTATGCATTTGGTACTTGATTCAATCATAATTTTTTGAGGACTGTCAAATGGAATTATTCCTTACCATTATTTTCCCCCCCAGATAACAGACAAATGTAATGGAGGTAAATATGCTCTGAACCATAAAGTGCTATATAAATTAAGATATTACATGTTTTCTGTATGAAGAAAGCTTTCTGTGAGCTAGACATTCTCTGTATAAGTTTTATGTACTGTGCTCACAGATAAGACATGAAAATTTTCTCTAGCATGTAAATTATCCAAAGGTAATTTGCCAAATTAATAGTACTTAAACTGGGTGCTAGAGATCAAATTAATTCTTAATGTGTTAAGTTTACATAAGTGAGTGAATCTATATTGATTTTTTTTTACTATGGGAAATTCGTATAGGCACTAAAGAGCTATACAAATGATTTCCCGTCATTTCATTGTGCTCCCAGCTAAGACTAAGAAGATCTTGGCATTTTATGAACAGGAAAGCACCATGCAAATGTAGCTTTTACACAACTTGGTGCTAGAGCATCCCAGTTGCCATTACACTTTGGGGGAAAAAACCAAGTAGAAAGATCGGTCTGAGGAAGGACTGTTATGGCCATACTACTAAACCCTGCTCAGCACTGGGGGTACAAAGATAAACCATCTGGATTATTTCCTAGGTAGAAGAAAATATGTGTAGAATTGATTTGTAAATTGTAAACTGCTACACATCTATGAGCGATCTCTGCTGGATAAATATATTTACATACTTACGTTTAACTATCATTAATCCCCAGAGAGCAAATGGAGTATGGAATTATTATTAAGCCTATAACAAAGAACTGTATATATATATTCACAAAAGCTACTGTGCTACATAGACTTAAGGAATTCACTGTTGACTTAATGAATTCATGCTGCTTATTTGCTATGAGATAGACCATTGTCTATAAGACTGGTTTTCTCATGGGGCACTCACAGAAAGAAAAGAATTCATGGATGTGAGATGTAGGCTAACCACTGCTGAGTTTACTTAATGATAAGAATATAGGGGAGGAATGGATTTGATTCACCAATGTAAATGTCAGTGTCTTTAAATACTAAGATACTTAAATAAATAAACATTGGCCTGGCCTAATTTAAGAGAAAATTTTTAAGAAAGGGATTGTAGATTTCCAGTTGCCTATTTGCCAAACCTGGAGGTGAAGTATTATGCTAAGTGAAATAGATTTGATCCCCAAGGCACTTAATCTGACTTGCGGAAGAAATAAAAGATATTACATGGAATTATTTTAATGAACTGAAATGCTTGTAAATGTCAAGGCATTGGACCACCTCCTAGACTGAAATAAATCTTGATTATATTGGAGAGTACAATATAATAAAAAGTTACTTTCACTCCATTCTGAATGTATTTTGTTGGAGTGTCTTGGGCTTAAGACCTCTTACCAGATTCTTAGTGGAACCAAAACGTTTTTTAATAAATGTATTCCCAGAACATTTGTAACCTTACAAGCACTTTTCTTATTAAAGGCATGGTTTAGTTTCTCATTGCTTTTTACATTTAAACATCTACCTCTCTGGCCACTAGAATAAGCAGGAAGCTGGTTATATACTGAGCTTGCTCCTGAAGTTACAAGAATTCTTATGAAAATAGACACTGTATTTTTTCCCTCTTTAAATATGGCTGCAACCACTATTGGGCAGGAGGAGGAAGGATAAAGACTAATAAATTCCCAAACCAGATTCAGGAATATGAATACATCACATTCAAAGTCACGTATCAGTTTTGTCTATTTTTAAGTACTTTCTCTGTTTGCTGACCAAAAGTATTTGTCGAAACAGATTCCTTTCAGGCATCATCCCCAGAGGACAAAATTGGAGATGGAGACATGATTTCTCTTTTGCAATTGCTTCTACCTTTTACCTTAGAAATGCTACTCTTGCTATCAGAACCTGCTCAAGAAAAGGTTTGGTATGTTAGCATGTCAATGGGTGGTGACATTAGCTTACACATGTTACCCTGCTGGTTTACATGTTAAGTTATGAATAATTAATTAAAATTGGAGCTAATTGGCAAAAATTGGAGGACAAAAAGATGTACAAACACTTTAAATTTAGGTACCAGGCTTTGACCTTTTCTATCTTTAAATCACTCTGAAGAGGGTGGGCTAGGAGGAAGAGTGAAAGGAAAGGTCAAACCTGTTTGCGGAGAGCAGCCAGCCTTTGATTTTGGCTGGGCTCAGTCTGAATCAGGGACATGGCAGTAAGTTTCGACTGGTTTTTGCTAAAAGCATTATTTGGGAGAAATCGTTTTGACTGAATGCTTATAAGTTAAACTTGACTTAGCTCAAAGTAGAATTTATTAATTGAATCAATGTGAGCTCTTCATAAGGTGCCTTCAACATAAGGTGGCCAAAATTCACTGTAAAGGGTGAGGACGTTATTTATTGTTCATTGTAATTCATTTCAAAGCATCTAAACTTTTTTACATAGCAAGTCAACAATAACATCCCTAAATGGAGGAGGAAATAAGATTAATGAATGGCATTGGACAATTGGCAGAGGAAGAAAGTTTAAAGAGGATCGGGGGTAAAGTTTTTGTTTTTTTCCTTTGTATACTTTTAGTTAAGTATCGGATACATTTGGAATATTAATGTCTAGCTTTTAATGTGGAATATGCTGGATTTAGTAACACTCCCCCCCTTTTTAGGTGGGGGTGGGAGGTGCATTGTTAGAAAGGAGAAAGTAACTACAAGCCTTCCTTTCACAGTTTCTGTCTACCACTCCTGATTAATCAAGAGTAAAGGACATGTGACCACCACCTGCTTCTGATGAATGGAGTGAACCAATCCATTTTTAAGGAAAATGACTTCATCTTCATTCTTCATCAAAGGAAACTATGCCCAAGTTCTAGAGACATTTTGACTTGTGAACTCATGTGATATGCTGAATCTCTTTCGACCCTTAAGTGTGCTGACGCTTGATGTCTTAGCAGAAGTACTTTTCTGACTACAAATCGGTTTTTCTACCTTATAGTTAGTTTAAAGATAAATGCTGACACTCAACATGAGATCTTGAACTTGATCTGAAGAAACTATATTAAAGTTTCATTTGCCCGAGTTACCCTATCCCTAAGCAAGTAAATAATTTCATCTTTATCCAAAGCCATATATATACATGTTACAATGGAGATAAACTGGGGAGTTTCTTGTCTAATGGAAAATAAAATACTGTTTTAAACCTTTGCACTTTTTCGGTTTTTTCCTTTTTGCTTTTTTGTTGTTGTTTTTTAAACGTGAAAGTGGAAAGCTTAATTTTGTTTGAACGAGCAAGAAGCAAGGCAAACTCCCTAAAAGGGTCGACAGTTTTATGTTTACACCAGGAAATCAATTGTACAATCATCACCACAATCCTGATAAGCTATCACATCATTTATTGTTGCTATTCATCTGCCTCTTCTATGCGTCACAAACTAGGAAGCAGCAAAAAAGAAAAACCACACACACACATATATAAAGACCACTGGCAATATTAAAATAAGCCAGAGAGAAAACCTGTCGAGAAACAAAAGAAATATTTAACCTGGAACAAATCCAGAATGGGTAAAGAGGGAAATCAAATGACCAGGTATATTATACCATAGTTCCATCTTCCAGAATCAAGTTTACAATAAACTGTCTGGTAGCAAGGCTGTTTGCATCCCTTGACTGATGTCAGAGGGGATCTGCCAGAGGCTTAATTCGAGTAGAAATAGTCCTAATCCAAACATCTGTCCTGCTAAAAGACAGGTAGTTAACAATTTTAGATGAAAAGTTATAACAAGTAGCACATTTGGGCATAGTTAAATTGTATTTGCAGGTGAGTCATCATTGAACCAGCTCCTCATAGATCAGGGTAACTGAAATACTTCTTTAAATTTTCAAAGCTAAAATGCCTATAGCTTTCTACTCCCATAAACAGTTATTGTCTTGGAAACCCACAGGGGGTCGATGTGAGACAGCATTGCCTCAGATAGCAATGAGTTTAATTTTGTTAACGTAAAATCTCACATGCTTCTCATGAGAGCTTTGGCTAATGATGGGTTAGTAAGCCATCAAATAATGTAGACTACGGTTTACATGTCAAACTTTCCCACTGCTTAAATTACTACAAAGAAATTATTAGTTTGCCTTTAGGGTCTGAGGATTTAATTTGCTCCAGTTTTTAAGAATGCATTCCAGAGGTTATGTCTGGAAGTAACCTTTGGCTTCCCAACTGAAAAAGAGCAAAGGAGAGACTATGATATTGACTTCCAGCACCCTCTTGTCTTGGTTTTATTTAAAAGCCTCTGTGGGAAAGGACACCCCCTTTCCAAACCTGGGCTTCCAGAATTAACCGGTTCTTACTGGGTAACCTTTATCTGGTTAGGCCTACACATCCCGAACTTTCAAGAAACTACTTCAATTTCCCGGATGGGAATTAGTGAAGAGAAGATGGTAGGTCCAAAGACCTTACAGAGCTTCTGTGATTTACAAAAAATGCCAGCCCAGTAAAGATTATCACTTGAGGATCAAAGAATTTTCATGAGTTCCATAGATCATTGGAGGGTTGTGAAATTCTCATAGGACCCATAAATTAAAACTGAATCTTGGTTTTTTTCCCTCAAGCTTGTGGAGTAAAGTGGCCTGAGAGACAATTCCACACCTTTGTAAGAGTTTTTTGCTACCACCACCAAGCTAACTGGCTCACACTCATAGGCAAGGCTAACCTACAAATGCTCATGAGGGCAGATAGCCCCATCTTCTCTCCCTGGAGCAGCTGCTGGTCTCAAACTGCTGACTACAGGTAGTAACCAAATGCACAGCCCACCAGTACGCCTTGCTAATGTTTTAAAGAGACAGGCATCTTAATGGTTGGATTTCCACAGTGTTCTAGAGATAACAGCTTTGCCCAGATCTGAATGGATTAAATTGCAGCAAGCCCCTTATTGAGTACTGACATAAAGAAAAACCCTTAAATGCCCACATTTTTTTCCTTCATCAAGACCCTTCAGGCATCCTCAAATTATGGCCCGCTGAGGACATTTATCTGGCCTGCAGGGTGTTTTTTGCCCCGTTTGTTTTTTTACTTCAAAATATGTGCAGTGTGCATAGGAATTTGTTCATAGTTTTTTTTTTAACTATAGTCCGGCCCTCCAACGGGTCTGAGGGACAGTGAACTGGCCCCTTTTAAAAAGTTTGAGGTTCCCTGCTTAAATAAACAGTGTTCTGGCAATTTGGATCAGCTGCACTTCCTGTGCTCCCTCACCTTTCAGAGTTCCAGCAATCTTGATTTAGTCTGGTGGCTTTCAACTTAAACTTGTTTCTGCAAAAAATTTTTTGTTAAGTATTTTAGTGGGTTCACAAAGCAAAGGTTTATCTGTAGGTGAAAAAGCTTAAGATGGCTAAGGTGAAGTCCCAGTAAAATTACATAAGTGCATTATATTTTGAAAGTCTTAAGTGAGAAATTCACAAACTAATGCAAAGTTGAACAAGGTTAATCAAAAATCAGAAAAAACATCAGACCAAAAAGAAATATAATATGCAAGGCTGAACATTTCAGATATAACATCTTATTTAAAGGATCAAACCTTGTGTTATTAATCAGTTGCACAATGTGCGCAACATTTTCTTGAACTGGCTATGAGGTCTATAAACCCAATGCCATCGAGTCAATTCCAAATTATAGTGACCCCACAGGGCAGGGCAAGGCCTACCTCTTTAATTTCTGAGCCTGTAATTTAATATTTTGCAGGTACTGTACCTTAATGTATAACCACGGAGCCTCCAAGGCCCCTCCCAACGGAAAAGTTTAGCTGCTTTGGCTAGAGTTGGCTACAATTACAAAAAGGGGCTTTCTTTTTCTTTTCAGTCATTCATGCTTTTTCTTTTGCAGCTTCAAGGTTGGTTTTGGCCAACTTTGTATTTAGTATTCTGTAGTTGCTTAAATATGAGGGAGGGGGAGAGCGAGGCTCTTGCAGATTCCCAAGGAGGTATCAGAAAGGCCACCCCCAGAGCCAGCAGGACCCTTTTGTTTGGGGTTTTCTGAGAGAATAGCACTTTCCTTAAACAAGCATCTGGGCTCAGATTCTCCACCCTGGGAACATTTTGAGATTTCCGTTGGAAGACACCCTGACATTTTAAAGAGCAAAAGCAAACTCAACCACCCTTCTCATAGCTAGCTCATTGATATAGGCAGAATGAGTCGGGTCTCCATTTTAGAAGGCTAGAAGTCTGTGGAAGATTTCAGTATTGCTGGCCTCATTAACTGGGAAGAATCAAATAGGAAGTAGCTTTCAGGGACACTTAAGAGAATTACAGCCCCCAAGTCAAGCTTTATCCATGAAAGAAGGGTTTTCATATGCTAACGAGCCTCTGGCTGGCAGAGCTTCTTGAGATGCAAATACCGGTAACCCTGTTCTGAGAAGCTTCTAAACGCGGAGGTTATAAAAATCTTAAAAATAAAACTCGTTCATTATTTTACACAGCTTTTATAGTAACCCTTTAAGCAAAAAAAAAGAGATAAACATACTATTTAGCAGATAACTTACAGATCTTGATCCTAAAGTTGATATAAACCAGTTTGATTCATAAGCACGCGATTGTTATAAAATCAAAATTAAGCTTTTAAGTTAGCAAAGCCATATGCACTTCCTCTAGTTAGCATCTAGAAGTAAAACTCAGATATTTGGCACCGCCATCGGAGGCAGTTGCAGTCCACGTTGTTTTACAAATAAACCGATTACGCGGAATGCCTGCTTTTCGTCCATTTAAGAATACAGCCCCAATTAATTCATTTTTAAAATACTCCAATTCAATGTCCTCCATTTCAGATTCCGAACATTTGAGGGCAAAGGAACAGAAACCTTAAAACAGTTTAAGAAAACAGCGAGTGTAGGTTTATTCTAACCCGATTTTACAGGGGTCGGCGAGGGGAAAATTTAAAGCCATACCTCCCGAGCCAACACAGACAGACAGAGAATCCGTTTCTCTCAATTGTTCGCTTACCGCGGAGAGCAGACCGGGTTCCTAGCGGAGACAGGAGATTCTGGAAGCTGCTCACAGCTCCTTCCAGCTGCAGGTGCTGGACAAACTCAGCGCCCCCGTTTTTGCTCCGGGTCTGACCGTCCTGTTACTATTCCTGCCTTCCCAAAAGATTCACTTTGAGAGGCACAGAATGGGGTTTTCGCATAAAGACATTTTATAACGAATCGGGGGTGGGGGGCAGGGGTAGGCGTGGGCGAGGGCAGGTTTGGGGAAAGAGAAATCACTCCACTAACCTGCACACCGGACTCTCCTGCTGTGCTTCTTTCTACCTGCCCACGTGAAACCAGATTTTAAAATATTCATTTGGAAAAGGAAACTCCACTGGATGTAGCAAG